ATATATAATATTATATATAATAATGTAATATAATTATGTATATTATATATATAATATTATATATAATAATGTAATATAATTATGTATATTATATATATAATATTATTATATATAGTAATATATATATATATATATATATATATATATATATATATAACTAATATGTATAATATATATATTATATATATTATTATATATTATATTATAAAAGAGAGAATATATAACATATCCTCTCTATTTTTTTTAAACTAATTCGATAATAAGTTTCCAGAAAATACTGCGACAAAAGTTGCCACAGTATTGCAATAAAAATCTCCACGATGCTCCAATTAAATCGTGCCGAGCATCCCCGAATTACCGCGAACGCGGCGAGCGATTCGGCAGCCGCTTACCCATAATTCCTTTTCCGCTCGACTCGCGTCGTACTGTCCAACGCACCCTGGCAGCAGCTCGTGGAAATAGCGCGAGAATCCTGTGCAGCTCGCATTCGCTCGCAGCACGTGTCCCGCGAGAACACCTTCTTTCAATTCACGGTTTCACGAATCGCGCGAGAAGCTGCCGTTCACCTTTGACCGGTTCGTTCATGCTTCGCGGTCGACGCGAACGAGTTCGTCGATCGTTCCGAGGATCGTCGTCGGCTGCGTCGCGTAAGCTTCGCGCGGATTCGGCGCGGTTCGCTGATTCGGCGGCGAAGCCCGACGCTACTTGGCCGCGTTCAGCGTGCGAGGAACGCGATTGGCTCGGACGACGGTCGCCGCCGCCGCGAGTGCTCCTGGGCGATCGCGATTTTTCGACGAGCGCGTCCGATTCCGAGTTGCAGCGACGCGGACCGAGTATTCCGACGCGTCGTCGCGTTTTTATAGATTTCTGTGATCGAGATTTCCGAGAAGCCTTTTCGGTTCTGCGATCGAGTTACGAAGTGTCGACGACGGGAACGGCGACGATCGGCGAACCGTCGGCGATAAAATCCAAACGACGACTGAGACCGATTCGTGGGCCCAGTTCAAACACGGCTGTTACGTTTCACCGGCGCCGGTAACTGTATCACCAGAAACGTTAAGCAAATCCAGCAGCGTAGAGCGCTAAGTGCCCTAATTGTTACAGATCTTACGTATCGTCGCGTTGTCTAGAAAGACCATCCATCCAGTCGGGAATTCGCCAATAGGCGACGCACGAGCCGCGGGTTCGTTCACGTTCTAGCTTCTGTCAATGTTGTCTTCACTGTCCCATTTTGTTTTTTTTTGTTTTTCGAAGAGGCTTGCCCTACGGAGATGGTTGGCGTTTGACCTCGTTCGATGAAATGGAATAGTTAAGATATAAAGTAAGACGAGAAAATAGAATAAAATGGAGGAGAATAAAAAAATGAAAGAAGAAAATAAGATAAAATGGAAGAGTATAAACAATAGAACAAAGACATAAAATGATATAAAATGGAATATAAAATAAAACGAGAGAATAAAATAAAATGGAAGATGATAAAAAATAAAACGAAAATATATAATACAAATAAAATGGAAGAGAGTACACAATAAAACAAGTAAATAAAATCGAGTAGAATGAAAAATAAAACAGGAAAATAGAATAGAACGGAATAGAATGAAAAATAAAACAAGACGACAAAATAAAATGGAAGAAAATAAAATGAAATGGAATAAAATAAAACGTGAAGCAAGCAAATAAAATAAAATAATATGGAACAGAATAAACAATAAAACAAGAAAATAACAAAATGAAATTAAATAGAATAAGAAAATAAAAGA